CCTTAGAAAATTCTCCCACCTTTCCATCCCCTTCCCTATATCGTTTCCTTACTTTATTTACCTCCCTTTTTTTCTCTCTGCACTCTCTATCCCACCACGGGCTCCCACCTAGCCCTCTTCTTTTTCCTGTCCTTTTCCATACTACTGCTGAATTTATTTCCGATTCTAATTCTTCCCATCCTTCTTGCACGTCCTCCCCTTTCCATTCTATTTTCTCTATTTTTTCTTTATATATGTTAATACCTTCTTCTGACCAATCTTGCATCCTTCCTATCTCATCTGTTACTTCCTCTTTTCCCGCGTACCTACTTCCAAAATCGATTATGATCGGCTGATGATCTGACTCTATCCTACATCCTATTTCAAACCTATCTATCTTCTCCCATGCCTCCCAATTTTTGTAAATTGTTTCCGTAGTCTATCACCGATCTCCTCCCCCCGTTTTTTCATAGGTCCATTTCCCCCTTCATCTCCTACTTTTTCCCCATTTAGAATCATCCACCCCCTCTCTTCTATCACTCTGAGCAACTCTTTACCCTGTTTGTTTATTACTTTATCTTTTGATACTCTTTTCCCCTCCTCCGGCCTTTTCTCCTCTCCACTTAAAGTTCTTACTTCCCTTTCTTCTCCTATCCTTGCATTGAAATCTCCTACCATCACCAATCTTCCCCCTTTCCTCTTCCTTTATTACTTCCTGCAGATCCTCTAAGCCCTTCTTTCTCCCTTCTCTATTACAAATCGTCACCACTCTCCATTTTTCCCCATCCAATATGATCTTTCTTTCTTGTATCCCCTCCCTATTTTCAAGCTCTTCCTTATTCTCCTCTACCTCTTTCCTTATTCCCGTAATTATCCCCCCCCTTCGCTCTACCTCTTCTCCTATCCCTCTCTGCTGGTTGGCACTTCCACCTCCATTCCTTTGGCATTTTTTCCTTTAACTTCCCCCACTCTTTTTCATCTATCCATGTCTTTATTAACCCTATTATTTCAAAATTTCCTAAAAACTCCCAAAAGTCTGTCTCCTTTTTCTTCAAACCCGCAACATTCCAAAAATTCCCCTCACCCGTTGTTCCCTCCTCTCTCCCCCCATTTTTGTCTTCCCCGCCCTTTTACCCACCCCCTTTTCTATTCTATACCTCTTTTTACTTTCTCTCTCATTTTTCTCCCCTTTTCTTTCATCCTTACACCCTTCATTCTCACTTATTCTTTCACATTCACTCTCCTTCTCTCCATTCACTCTCTATCCCCTCCTTACGCCCTCTTCCCTACCTCTCGTACTCTCCCACACTTCTCTACTCTCATTCTCACCTTTTCTTTCACCCTTGCTGCTATTATTTACTACATCTATCTCTAAGTTTCTCTTCTTTCTTCTCTGCTTTGCTATCTCTGTCCTTCTCGTTCTCACCTCGACGTTTTCTTCCTCGTTCTCCATCCTCCCCTTCATTTTTCTCTTCGACTTGTTCTCCATTCACGCTGACCTCGCAGCTCCCGCAAAATCCCCTCCAATTTCCATTCTGTCCCTCTCATAATTCCATATATACTTTATTTCTCCTATCTCCGCTTTCCCGTACCCTACTTTCACCATCCTTCCTTTTTTCTTCTCTTGATATGCCCATTCTCTTACCTTTTTCTGTATCTCCCTCTCTTTTCTTGTCATATCGTCATCAACATATATTTTCCTCCCTCTTAGCTTATACTTGTTTTTCATAATCTTTATCTTTTCCTCGAAGTTTTCTAATTTCTCTAAAATAAATTGCTCTTCTTTGCCAATATACATTGCGTCTTCCACTCTTACTTCTTCTCCACATATTTCATCACAGATTTTCTGCTACCTGCCTCGCTGATCCTCCCTCTACTTATTCCCCTTTAATTATAATATTCTTCTTTCTTTCTCTACTTTCTCTTTCCTCTTCTCTCTTTTTTAACTCCGTCACCTCTCTTCTTAATTCAACATTTTCTTTCTTCAATCCCTCTATCACTTTCATATTTTCTTCTCTTATTTTTTCCATCTCTTTCTTCAACTCAGTCATTACCTTCTTTTCTAAATCTCTATTACTATCCTCTATTTTCTTAATAATTTCTTTCTTAGATCTTTCTTGACTCTCCCCCATATCTTCCAATAATTTTTCAATCCTTTCTATTTCTATTATTTGCGCCTTTTCGGTATTTGCTGCTATTTCGGATGTCTTCCTCCGTTTCCCGTCCTTCCCTTCACTCTTGCTATCACTATCTTGCTGCTCTCTTCCCCTCCTCCAAATCCACGACGAAATACTCGATGTACTCTCTATACTACTACTTCTCCCCCTTCCCAAGTTTTCGGCGTTTGATGGTCTCCCTTTCTTCCCTACTCTCGCTTCTCCTACTTGACCCCGCTTGCTGTTCGACTCTGCCGTCGTTAGGACGGTGTCTTCCTTCTCTATCTCCCGGCTCTCACTCATACCCCACTACCCGTGCCACCCCACCTTCGTGCACACTCGCGCTCTCGCCCCTCTACTCCCGTTCCTATCGGCACGCTCTGATCTTTCCCACTTCCCACCTCTCTCTCTCTCTCTCTCTCTCTCTCTCTCTCTCTCTCTCTCTCTCTCTCCCTCCCTCTCCCTCCCTCGCTCTCCCCCCCCCTCTCTCTCTCTCTGGATACTGGCGAGTGTCAAGTCGCAAATATTTTTGCTCCGATTTTATATTTGAATTCTCACGCTCCTTTAACTTTTTCTGAGGGAAACCATCGGCCGTGGGTGCATAATCTGTGGACCTACACGTTTGGTGCGAAGTGAGTCATCGATCTACGTGTTTGCGTTTGCAGTGCACTTATTTCTAAGATTTGCTAATTGCCACGTTGACGGGCGAACGACATTTTTCGGCTAAGACAATCATTGCGCAGGACATCAGTGTCACGTGACGCCTCTAGCCAAATTACTCTGTGCTATTTGGACACCTATACTACATTTCTCCTATGTATTGAGCATCACCTGTCAACGAAATCTGAAGTGTCTTCGAGGTATGCACGCCTGATGCCCAAGTCTAAGTCGAAGGTTTCAAGAGCCGAAAGCGCTGTGTCCCACTCGATCTGTATCAAATGCAAGAAGCCCGTCGTAACTAAAATTGAATGCAATATTTGCAAATCAGCGTTTCATCCTTCGTGCGCCTATGTGTATATCAAAAATAAGCCGTATACTTATTGTTGTGTGCGTACCTTATCTTACTCTATCGTGACGTCACCGTCGGTATTCGGTGTTATTCCCGCGTCTAGCCTCTCCCTCCCTGCCTCTCCTCCTACTCTTGCCCCCGCGGCCGCCCTGCCTGCCGGTCTCCACACTCTCCCCTCTACTCCGTTCTCGCCTGACCCCACTACGCTACAGGCTTGCTCTGTCGTGTCGTCTCCGTCCTTGTCGCCGCGATCCGCGATGGAAAACATTAAGAAGCAGCTTGAGCAGCTATTTACTGCGATTAACGGCGTCAAACAGGACACTGTGTTGATACGAGAAGAATTAACATCTATAAGTGCAACCGTACGAGAGAATATGGCCGTATGCAATACTTTAGTGAATGATGTAAATGGTATTAAGCATTCCATGGCGTATGCTAGGCCAACGGCAGATTTAATCATTAATGGTATTCCTAGTACTTGCGGCTTGATACATCGAGACATTTTTATTCGTGTGCTAACTCGTCTTGATCTGTCGGCCTTATCTGCCGATGTCTTAGCTATAAGTAAAATCGAACTTAAGAGACCTGTAACTGTGCCAGCTGCTTCCTCAAACTTATCTACTTCAAACTACTTTGCAATTAAGGTACATTTAAAGTCGGTTGATATCAGAAATCACATAATTGATGCTAAGCGCAAAACGGGGAAGATTACTGTTTCTGAACTTTTTCCGGAATTATCGGACGCTGTATATGTCGGTAATCCTGTTTATGTCAATGAATTTCTACCGTCGTCGACGTATGCGCTCCTTAAGAAAACTAAAGAAACTGCAAAGCGAGCAGGTTATAAACGAGTTTGGGCTCGTAATGGGAACATTTTTGTACGTAGAGACGAGGGTGTAGCTGAATTGCTAATTGTAACTGAGCAAGATTTAGATAAAATTATCTGACTACCACGGCGTAGCGCATCATCCGCTGTCAGTGCTACATCTCCTTCGGATTCTGCCTTTATCAAGATTTCACGTGTCAATATTAACTCTATTCGAGCTCACTTACATGATGTCGAAGCTGAACTCTCGGACAATTCAACTCATATTTTAGCTCTTACAGAAACGTGGCTGACACCTAATATCGATTCTTCATGCGTAACAATACCTAGTTATAATCTCGTGCGAAATGATCGCGCTATCCGAGCTGAAGGGCAATCGCGTTTTCTTTTGGGTGGAGGTATAGCATGTTATCTACATAAGTCTTTGTGCTACTCAATTTTAGAGTCTTCGTCTAATAGTGCTATAAATTCGCCGGAGTACCTTTTCCTTGAGATTAAGTCTTCATCGCAAAATTTGTTAGTTATAGTTATATATCGACGCCCGCAGGGCTTATTTCTTTCCGATTTCCTTAATAAATTGAATTTATACGTCTCCACTTACCAAAATATTGTCATTACCGGTGACCTAAATCTTAATCTCCTAGCCAATAATTTTGAGTCTAAGTATTTGAAGGATCTTATCAGCGATTATTCGTTCTACTCAGTACCTTCTGGTCCTACGCACTACTCGGGCCTATCGCATTCACAAATCGACGTCGCCATTGTTGACTCTAGCTATAAGATCAAAAGTTTTTCCAAATCTCCTTCTCCCTTTGCTGCCGGTCATTGTCTTATCTCCATTTGTTACCAATTCTGTAATCTTAACTGTATTCCACAATTTATTACATATCGAAATTTTGTTAACTGTGATTTTGCCTCTTTAGCCAATGACCTTTCTTCTTCACTTAGCCTCAAGCTCCCTGCTTTCCGGAACAATGAGTCAAATCGTTCCTCATCTGAATTAGCTTCTAGTGATATTGATTGTGACCTTATGACCTTCTATAGCAGCGTGGTGGGGGTCCTGAATATACATGCGCCTATGGTTACTAAGCGTATTCTAAAGCGTTCTATTCCGTGGATCTCGTCTGATCTGCGAAGAAGAATTAAAGAGCGTGATAAACTGTTTACACGTGCCAAGCGGACAAGTAATCCAATGCTTTTAGAACAATATAAGAATTTGCGTCGTGATATTAAGCAGGACATTAAGTCAGCTAAAAATCGTTACCTGGGTGACTTAGTGCTTCAACAATCGAGTCCAAATAAAATGTGGTCATGCTTGCGTAGATGTGGCCTCGTGGGCGGTGTGTCATTATCTGCTCTTCATCATTTTGCTCCATCTACCCTAAATCGCCATTATGTCTCCATATCATCGTCTCATCCGCTCTGTGACCATATCACATTCAGCTCCATCCTATCACGGCCTATTCCGAATGGCCTGCAATCTTTCACCTTTTCCCCCATTAGTCACCTTGAAGTTCTCAGCAGCCTTAATTCCATTCTTAAGAAGTTTCGTGGCCTCAGCCCAGATCAGCTTCCTCTAGCACATTTGAAGCAATTATTCTCAGTTATTGTGCCATATTTAGTAACTCTTTTTAATCAGTCCCTCTCTCTTGGTGTTTTTCCTTCCGCTTGGAAATCCTCATTCATCATTCCTCTCAAGAAAAATCCCAGTCCCTCTAATCCATCTGACACTCGAACAATAGCTAATCCACCTCATCTGTCCAAAGTTATTGATTCCTTAGTTACGCATCAAATCGTTGCATTCCATGAAGCCAACAAGTTGCTTCATCCTAAGCAGTGTGGGTTTCGCAGATATCACAGCACTCAAACAGCACTACTGTACCTCCTTGATGACATCCGAATGGGTGTTGATAGAGGCTATGTTACTATATTGGTCTTATTTGATTTCTCAAAAGCCTTTGATAGTCTGTCTCACTCAGTTATCTTGACGTGTTTACGAGACATAGGCTTCGAGGATTTGGCACTTTGGATGCGCTCGTTTCTATCAGGTCGGTCCCAGTCCATAATTGGACTAGATGGACAACCATGTCAACCTGAGTTTACTACGTCAGGTGTCCCGCAGGGTACTAGTTTAGGACCTATTCTTTTTATTATCGTTATTAATACTCTTTTCTCGAAACTCCAGTATTGTCGGGACACTACCATCATTTTTACGGATGACACTCAATTATATCTATCGACTCCTATAAGCCGCATCAATGATACCGTGCAACTAATTAATAGTGACACAGCTGAATTGCTCAAATGGACCCATGATTATGGGCTCACATTAAACGCCCGTAAAACAAAGGCAATCATTCTTGGATCTACACAAAACTTGGCATCTTTCAATGGTCTACTGCTTCCACCAATCATTGTTGGGACTGAGGTAATACCCTATTCTGATCATGTCATGAACCTTGGTGTAATAATTTCGTCTGACCTCTCATGGAATTGACACGTTAATTCCATCTCATCAAAAGTACACAATGTTCTCCACAGATTAAAATTTCGTGGCTCATTCCTACCACCTAGTATTAAGCTATCCCTTGTCAATGCATTAGTCATCTCCTTCATTTTTTGCGTAATGCCGATCGTGGCTGGTCCTAGAAATTAATATAGCTAATTAATGCGACTATGTGAAGCTTATTACTTGATATCTTGCAGTACTTTCGTTACTTTGTTATTCGTCCTTTAGCGCCGTAAGTTCTGAGTTGTACCACTTCGCCTCACTTTACTCTTCTTACTTGTTTTATTTCGTTAATTAATATGTTATGACTTTATCTTATTACTGTAATTGATGTACACCTACTGCTCATCTCTTCCAGAGAGAGTAGGTAACCAGTTTTTTTTCTGTAACTATCTGCATCCTGCTCGGAGAATGTTAGAGCAGGATGTGATTCTTTTATGTCCACGGCCCTTTTGGTGGCCAGGATCTTAATAAATTGTATTCATTCATTCATTCATTCTCTCTCTCTCTCTCTCTCTCTCTCTCTCTCTCTCTCTCTCTCTCTCTCTCTCTCTCTCTCTCGCTCTCTCGCTGTCTCTCGTTCGACCAAGACTTATGCCACTTCCGCCTATATATTTCAAATATGTATATATGTATTTAATATGAAGTGAGGGGTTCAGCGGAAAGCGGAGGCAATTCGAAAATCGACCGAAAGTTACGTACACTTTACGTATGTTCACTTTGTACTGGCAACTTCAATTAATAATCAGTTACATTTTATGGTAATATATTAACAATTTAACTCGTGATAGTACTGCGATAGTTTTAAATATACCTCATATCGATCAGCATTTAAAGTCGGTAGCATTTAAAATAATAATTTTATTTAATATGCATTTAAATGATGACTGCACGGTTTATCGGTGAGCCAGGCGAGGGGGGAACGTACGACTCGCATTCGCTCTTCCACTTAATGTGTTGTTTTGATAACAATCTCCAAGGCTGCTTTCACTAACCGTCTAATATTGACACGTCAGCTTTATAACAACATATTAATTTTTTTTCATTAACGCGATTGCAAATTATAAAACAAAATTATTAAAAAATGTAAAACAGTTACTTTTCCTAGTAGTTATAAATCAAAATTATTAAATAAATGTAAAACAGTTACTTTCCTAGTAATATATTATGCGCGGTGCGGGACAGCGAATTCGAAAATCAACCAAATGTTACATTGTCCCCCTCACCGCTACACGGGCAGTCGAAATGTCCCATGACAGTCGAATACACTTTACGTATGTTCACTTTGTATTGGCAACTTTAATAATTAATAATCAGTTACTTTTCGTGGTCATTATTACAATCTAACTCGTGATAGTATTGCGATGATTTTAAATATACGTCATATTGGTCAGCAGTCGGGAGTATTTAAAACAATAATTTTATTTAATATATATTCATTTAAAAGATGATTGCTCGGTTTATCGGTGAGCCGGGTGAGGGGGGATTTGAACTCGCGCGCATCCGCCCTTCCACATCTAAACAATCCCCAAGATTGTTTTCACTAACCGTTTAATATTAACGCATCGATTTTCTCTATTACCTTCATTTAAAACAAATTTTTTTTTATAATGTTTTTTTTACAATTAACTACGATAGTAGTATAGTACCACTATGGGGACTCGCCTGTGACGTCACTGGCGCCAACCTCCTTCACTACGGCGCCAGTGGTACGGGCGGGTCCCCATAGTGGTACTATGTTACGAAATAATCGCCCCCCCTTTACTACTGACATCATCCCCACCGCTACGACGCCAATGGGCCGCTCGGCTTCCCATAGTGATGCTATTTTACGAAATATTAGCAATCCCTCTACTATCGACGTCATCCCCACCACTACAACGCTGGTACCGCTATCGGTTCCCTATAGTGCTACTATTTTACGAGATGATATTAATTCTCTCTCTCTCTCTCTCTACTACAACGTCGATATATTCCCATAGTGCTGCTATTGTACGAGACGATAGTTGTAACTAATAGCTAAATGTAATGAAGGGGTGAAAGACATATTTTAACGAGCTGTGGCCACAATACGTAGAACTCGTCCGACGCCGCCCCGTCCGACGAACATAGCGACCCAATGTGTTCCAGGTTTTGTATGGTCGTCAGTATTAGCGATAATAGCAGCAGGTTTACTCCAAAACGTAGGTATCTCGTCCGCAGCATAAACGCCTATAGTATCGCAGGGTATGTTTTGTAAAGCAGCCCGTAATTGCAAATTATTCATAGCCACCAAGAATTTTCAAGAGAATTATTTTCTTCTTCTTCTTCTTCTTTTGTATTATGACTATTATCGCGGTTATACCACGTCATAGAAAACGATGGAGATGGAGGCGACAACGGTGTTGACAAAGATGCAGAATCCAGAAAGGCGTAATCTTTAATCCACTTTCTTATCCGCAATGCATTATTTAAAGCACATGTATATTCCCGATTATTTGTCTTGATTTTTATACTATGGATGAGGCACGTTTGCTTTAACTGCGGTAATTGATGAAATGGTGGACATTTCTCCTCTTCTTCTAAATTTATAATGTTTCTACTTGTAATACGATGGAGAAAAGCTGATTTATCTCGGCCTCTTATGAATATTCGGTTCGTAAATTGTGCAATTGTCCTCAAATGTCGACATAAGTTTTTGTATGGTGTATCTCCTTCAAACCATTCAATACCATGGAAATTTTTACTGAGCCAATTGTTTTGAGATTTTGAACGGGTTGATAGCTCGGTAAAGGAGTATGGTGCAATAATCCAATGAGCGCAATGGTCGTTATTTATGGAGACAATAGCAACTTCTTTTGGAAAAAAATCTTCCTCCGTATTCTTGAATCCTTGTATATCAATAACGATATTCATATTTATAATTGTAAATGCGAGAAAGATATATATATATGAATAACTGGTAGTAATAGTGTAGTGTATACACTCAAGAACTAGTGCCGACTGATGATTGAAGTTATATGCTCATAACGTTTAAGCTTTTCGTTTCTATAATATCCGTTCCTATAATGCTTGTTCCCGAAGTTCTTTTTCCTATAATGCCTATATTAGTATCAAGTTTCATCTGCGTTGAATATTTGCATAGCCTACTACGAATTCTCTCTCTCTCTCTCTCTCTTTCTTAACCACCATAGTCTACAATCACCTGTCTTGATGCATCAATCTCCATAATATTGTCATATTCGGCATAAATAATACAATTTATCGTATTTTCTAATGCTTCTTCGAAACGAACTTCGATTCTAACATTACCATGCTTCATTAAATTCCAATGCGTAGTATCGTTTGCTGAAAGGTCCGGTGTAAGATCAAATGCAAAAAGACAATAACCGTTTGGATAATTCTTACGAGAAATAGCATTGCCCTCGTTTAAAAAATGAATTCCTGTTCCAGAAAAAAGAGTGTGATAGGCCTCCATATATAATTTCTCCTTTGTAAAATCGGGTTGTAACGGTTTGCTAGGTATTTGTGTACCATCCACGTACAGAGATAAAAAATTAATTTTGTAATGATGAAAATTAAAAGGATTCAGCATACGATTACCGTTAAATGCTCTATTATCAACAAAACCGATGATTAAACGTTTCGGTATTTGACCTAATATCACATTGTCGAGCGTTTCACCGTATATACCACTGTGTATAGATATAGATTTCACTTCGACACGTGTGAGGGGGTATTTTGCTGTGGTTTTCGCAAGAGCTTTGGCATGTGCTAACAACATACCAGGTGAAATTTTTGAACGTCTAACAAGAAGTGTAGCATCAATTATATGAACTTCGAAATTTCGTTCGGTTTGATCCATAAGGCAGAATGTATCTCTCGATCGCACTATTCGCAAACGCATTTCTACACCATTTATTAAAAATCTTTCTTGATTAAAAACATCACAGTGTAAATGCCCCATAAGATCAATTTTCTTGCCATCGGCTGTCAATACGCGACGTTTTACAAGGCCATCGTTTGCATTGAGTAGATCATCCATGGATCCGCTTTTATCTTCGTATCACAATACGCTTGTTAAATGAGAGTTTTTAGCAGCAGGACCATAATTAAGTAATGTCTCTATGTAAGCTCTATAAGCGTAAGCATTATTCGGTGGTGATATAAGTTTTTGATTGAAAAATACATCTACCTGATTGAATAATGAATGCATAAAATTATTCACAGGCCCGACATAATCAGTGGTATCTCCATCTTTTGAAGGCTCTTTATGAATCGTTGGCCTTATTTGGACACTGATGCTTAACATTGTATGCGGTAGATCGATGTATTCCTCTCCTAGTCCGGGTACTACAAATTCTATAGGTGAATCATCAGTTAACGATGATATTGGCTTGTAGTGTATCCATTGTGAACTTTCGATTGTGGCTTGCGTTGGTGGAACAGTGAATAATTCCAATTCCGATTTGAGACATTCGCATGAATGAGTGTGTAAAAAAGACATATTTGCTATTATTTTACGGCGAATATATTATTGAAAAATGTCAACAACAGTACGATTGTTTCGAGAATATCTCTTTTTCTTTTTATTTTTTAACGTATTTGTCTTAGATCGAATTGTCTTCTTCTTTTTCTTCTTCTTCCTCTTCTGTTCTTTCGCGATATGACCACTGTCACGGGTGTTAATTAAATGTTTTATTTTCGACTCTCTCATGGATTTATATCCTGATCCTTTCATAAGAATATCGATCTTTTCTTCGGCTTTCCGTTTTAAATTTGTAGCTGAATCTTTCATGCGAGTATTAAAAGCTTCTTTGAATGGAACATCTCTTTGTATTACATCGCGAGCTACGTTCATTCCAGAACGAACAACTTCTTTACCGATCGCCTTCGCACCTTTTGATAAAAGAGGTAAAACACGACGAAAGAGGCCTCCAAGGAAACTACCAATTCCATGACCGCGTTGATTTGATGTACCAATGTACACATGTTCAATTCCGCTTTGCCGACCACCGCCGTATTGGATATCAAAATATTCATCATAGGCTGTCATTTCTTTTAATGTATTATTTAATCTAATCTTTTAAAGTGAAGCGTTACAGTCAATGTGCCATATTCGAATGGTATAGGTTGCCCAAATTCATCTCTTATATCGATCTCAATTGTTTGAAAAGACGTATGAAGTAGAGGTATATATTTAGCCGTTGAGAAACTTTTATGTTTGACTGAACCATAAACGTATGCTTCTATATCTAAAGGTACGGTACGGAGTAACGGTGTTTGCACATCACCTGTAATGTAAGGTTCACATATATCCGTGTATATGAACATTGAAGTAGGTAACGCTCTGATCAAGCTAGCTGGTCTAGATGATACCCAAGACATATCATTTAGCGATATATTATATTCCTTCGTATTATAGCCGAATATCCGTGCCAATGTTGGAGATAGAAGGAAAGTATGCTCGTTATTTACACAATGTACACATGAACGCTGTGCACTAACATAGCCATTTTTATTTACTGTAAAAGTTAAATGATCTTTCATCGATGTTTCATTAACTGTTTCGACAAGATCATCGATTGAACGGTACAATCCCCGTGGCATAATGTAGTGTTCAATTCTATTTTGATCTACATCATTTTTAAGAGCCTCAGATGTATTGAACAAATTTCTTCTTACTGTGGTTTTTTCATCTTTCGGGAAATGAAGAAATGTCATAGGTATTTGAATATCTGTTAGGGATACACCCCATTCGCCTTGTAAACGTAATTGATGCGGTAAGCGAGTAATAAAATGAGTCGTTGTATTATCCGGAAAATATGAGACACTGCTATTACTAGGCAGAACTATGTAAAAATTATTCCTCATTATAGATATTTATTTGTTTTTTATATCCTTAGGATTTATCCACGTATTAAAATTTTCTGGAAAACCATGCCAACTAACGAGAATACGTCTCGAACGACCTCGACCCTTACTTCGAATTATTTTCTCAACTGTAAGATTTGTCTTTGCATAATCTCGGTGGATTCTAGTTAATTCTTCTTCGTAAAAGAGCCCATCTATATCCTCGCCGTGAAGATCTCTTAAGAAGTAGACTGGTGGTTGTTGGTGTGTGGAAACGCGTATTATAAGAAATATCTCTTTACTCCAGCCACCTTCATAACCTTTCGCGAACGCTGCTTTGTAGCTACTGATTCGCACAAGGTCTCCAACCTTGTATTTAGGAACACGAGTACGTTTACTAGCATATCGGTGAGCGAGATTTGTTCTAACAATCCGAACATTATTCAATGTTACATTACGCGGGGCCATTTTAATAGCGGTGTGATACGAGCGATTGTACGCATCAACAATATTTTGTAGAATATGAATATATCGTTTATTTTTTGTATATGTAAAATATCTCCACATGCGCTCCTTCAGCGTTCTATTGAGACGTTCGACAACTGCTGCTTTCACATCCGGATTACGAGCTACACGAAAACCAATTTTTTCGTTCTTCAAGAAAAGTTGTGTAGCTGCGCCTGTAAATTCTTTACCACGGTCAGTCTGCAAAACAATAGGACGTCTTCCTTTACTGCGTGCCAGTATACGTGCTAATGCTAGTGCAACACTTGCGCTTGTTTTATCACGCAGTTTTTCAACCCAAGCAAATTTACTCAAAACGTCGATAATGACGAGTAAATACGCATAATTATCGTTATAATTTTTAATTGCGCGTAGATCCACGATATCTGCTTCCCATAAATCATCGATATTGTACAAATTGTAGAAACGACGTGGATATCGACGGCGTAAAGGCCTATGTAGCGTATATGTGTCTTGACTCTCCAACCATTTGATAGTTTTATTTCGGGAAACAGTTTTATTAGTTTCACGCAATAATTTTGGTGCTCCGGAAAAAGATGCTGGATGAGAAGGGTCGTAATAAATTGTTTCTAGTTTTTTCATTCTTACAATTTAGATGCCTTTCTTTTTTTATTCAAAAGAGATAAACTTTCCCAATTATTGGCGCTACAATAGTTCTCACTGACGTTATCGGTATTATCCGTCGGAACCTCGCTTGAGTCAGATGTTTGGCTCGCTGCTGTAACACCGCTTGACAATATGATATTCGGTACTCGTAGTGTGCTAATGGCGTTGCCAGGTCTTGGACTATCTGACCAAAGATCTTGATTTCCTATAAATTCACGAGGCACCTTTACACTACGCAGAAATGCGGCAAAATAATGTCTTCCGACAGGTCTTGCCGTTTTTCTGGAGCGCATAGTGTCATTTACAAGATCGACAATATTAGATTCGGCTACTTTTGTACCGTCGATAGAGATAACACCATATTTATCCCAAACAAGTCTGTCAGACGCATTAGACTGTAAATGATTTAATAAAAGTTTAGCTTTTTGCCGATATTTTAACGGTACACTAGCCAAAATGAATGAATCACCCATCCGATCTTTTTCTATTTCTTTCATCTCCTCCCCATCTGAGTAGATAGCAGATTTGATGGTTGTATTATGCTTTGCTTCTTCTACGAAGTATAAATAACGCTGTAGTATTTGAAGGTAAGCCTTGCATTTTTCTCTTTCATCCACAAATTTATTTGAGAATTTCACGCATTTCTTCATCTAACCTGCTCAATGTAGTACCAGGCGTTTGAATTGTTATATTATTTAATACGTGAGTTAATTGCATAACTTTTTCTTCCGGTACCAAAACCATTTTTTTTGCGTGTTCCATTATATTTTATTTCGGAGCTATAAGGCGGGATAATACACTACCTAGTATAGGTGCTAGTAACAAAGGTAAGAATCCACCCCGTTGCACGATCAAGCGTTTTTTACTCTTCCAAGAATCGTTTTTATCGGCGAGTCGACGTAATATGGCGGCATAGCGTTTCAAACGTCGTTTATATGGTTGTTTAAGTGGTACATTACCGTGTAATATATTTAAAGCACACTCGCATATGCATCTAACAAGTTTCGGATCAGCCTTTTTCAAGATAGCGATACGTTGCTCGTTAGTGAGGTGACGTAACGCTTGTAGTATTGCAGCGTGTTTTTGGCCGAAGATATGAGCGTTTGGTGCCATTACAAACTTATTGAATTTGAAGTTTCAAAAATATATTCACAATCCTTTTATTGTTGTATATAATTTACATTTACAACAATCTTTAATTAACGGTGTTGGACCATCAATATGCGATTGTTGAGTCGATAGGTTATAATGTTCTAAGCACCGCCGATAGCCACGCACTTCTGGGTCTCGTTTAAGGGGGTTGACCCGTTTGATGGGTTGAAAAAATCGAAAAATTTTTTTTTCATAAATCGCTTCTATAACTTATGTAGAATATGTGGTTAAAAGGATTTTTCGAAATTCGATGTCGTTAGAAAGTTATAGCCCTGAGAAGGAATGCGTTCGAAAGCCAGGCAGCGCGCTGGACGGAGGGTCGTCGAACCTTTTGTGTCGCTTCGGTTTCTTACCTGCGACCGTTATACTCACGTGTATACATATAAACACGCATATTTAGAGGAACACTATTGTCCAAAAATATCATTTCGAATCCAACGGTTAGTTTAGTTTTGCCTTGGCATTGAAGAGTGTAATACGTGCCGAATCCGTTTGAAATCTATATTTGCAGTGCGAGTTAGTTTTTCGAAATGGGTGGTAGTAAAGGAAACAAGGCAAGTAACACACACCCTTCGAGAGTAAAGAAAAGAAAGTTTCATGGAAATCGCCACTCAATTGAACAGGATACACAATTTACGTCCGCCTCAGCGAAGAAAATAGGCCGTTTCGATGTGAAGGTTCCTGTCGCAAGCAACTTTGGTTACTGTATTATAGAATTCGTTTCTGTTTTTTCTGCTTTATCTGCAAGTGTCATCTGCAAAGATTGCAAAAGTGAAGTTGCTTTTTCTAAGTCAAGCTTACGTGGCTTGGGTTTCAATATTCTTCTCGAGTGCAAGTGTGATAAACAAACAAAAATTAAGTCATGCTCTCTGGTCGGCAGTGCGTGTGAAATCAATCGACGAATAGTTTTTGCGATGCGCATGTTAGGCGTTGGACACCAAGGATTGAATCTTTTTTGCGGTCTGATGGATATTTGCCAAGGTATTGGAAACTCAACTTATGCTTCAATATTGGAAAATATTCATATTGCCGCATCTACCGTTTATGACTCCATAATATCGTTTGCTGCTACAGAAGAAAAAGATTTAAATGAACGAGCTGGAAATATACGAAATAATCTGACTGTTTCCGGTGATGGTACGTGGAAGAAAAGAGGATTTTCGTCTTTGTTTGGCGTTTCCACGCTGATCGGAAAGTTCACAGGAAAAACCTTGGATTCAAAGGTGAAGAGTAGTTTTTGTGCAACTTGTAATCTATGGAAAGGCAAAAAAGATAGCGATCCTGTGGCTTACGAAACGTGGTTTAAAAATTATCAAGAGGAATGCACCGCTAATCACACCGGCAGTTCCGGGAAAATGGAAATCGATGCGA